TATATATATATATATATATATATATATATATATATATATATATATATATATATATATATATATATATATATATATATATATATATATATATATATATATATATATATATATATATATATATATATATATATATATATATATATATATATATATAAAATGCTCCAGCCTGTTTTACGCAGTGGTGTGATCCTATAGTCTAAGTATACTTGCACTGTACTGATATTGGGCATCTGAGCCTAGATACAGTATTCCTGCAAAAAAAAAAAACGAACTTGGTATGTAGGTTCGGATTCCAGTATCCTGGCAAGCAAATGGCGTGGAATTTGATTTTGGTCTCCAGTATGCCTGCAAACCAGCGGCGGGATATTGATGTAGGGTTGAACTCCAGTACTCCTGCAATCGAAGGCCTTAAATCGAAGTTTGGGATCCACCGTGCTGTAGTATTGGTGTTATAGAATTCTCGCAGGCTTACGTTCTAATGACATGACACACGCGAATCTAACCGTATATACAGTATATCTACAATATTGGCTTGGTATGTAGGTATGACTTTCAGCTTCTCAGATACAGTGGTGCAATCGTATAGTTCGCCAGCACTCGCCGTACCAGAATGGCACACGGAAATCTGATCTTTGGATACGGTTTCCATGGTTACAAACGCCTAGGTGGGCAAATCTGAACTTCCGCTTGTTCTATGCAGTGCTGTGATCGTGTATTCTACACAGACTCGCACTTCCGTGGAGTGGTACACTTCAATCTAGGCGTCAATACAGTATTCTTACACACAAGTGGCTTCTGTTATGGGCAGTATTTTCTTTACATGTAGCACTCTTTTCCGTTGTCATCTGGTCCATATAGCATGTTAATATGATCTGATCTATATATCATGATAATATGATCCGATCTATATATCATGTTAATCTGGCAAACAGGTCAAAATCGGGGACCTATGTCTCGGTGATCTAAAGAGTCACATCCGTACGAATGCCGCGTCGAACGATGTCCCCAACCACAGGTGGGCACCAGGTGAGTCATATCCCGCGCTAAACATATATTTACTCGTGCCACATGCTATTTATAGAAAATCCGTAGTGTGTTGTGTTCACGGTATGGCAATTGCTACAAGCGGAGCATGCCGTGTGTTATGTTATCAATAGGCTACAGTCCAAGAAGTTCAATATCAACATTAAAGGTAGTAGTCCTAATGTTGAACTCTGTGCCCTGAAGGTTTGCACGAGTCAGATCCGATTCACAGTGTCGCTGCATGATGTGTTGTAGGCTATTACGAGACTACAGTAAGTTGTTCTATTTTTAGACCGCATACGTCACCCGCGGTTACTGAGTCAGATATGTCGCATGTTCTACTATGCATAATACTTATATATTTAGGTCTGCAGGCTTTAATGCACTCGGACATTTAGCGAGTCTATCCTAAGAAATCGGGAAGTTTCGTGTTTTAAGTTATACTCGCAGTGCTGTAAAAGTAGGTGAGGGGTAGCATGCACTGCATCAGTATGTATGGATTCCTTCCCTTGAGAATCAGTCTAACGTTATCTCGGTTGGTTTTACAAGGAGTGAGTTTCCTTATACTATATGTTACCTGTATTCTACTATATTGGAGACTTACAGATATGATTTAGAATAATTTTCTTTAATTTTAATCATTGCACGTTTATTCTCTTATCGTAGAGCTGCATGACCTATATTTTAATATATTTGAGACTAATGGCTTTAATCATAATCATTTCTCGTTATTTTCATTATAAAAGTTGTATGACCTATATTTTAATATATTTGAGACTAATAGCTTTGAAATCATAATCATCACACTCTTTTCCCCATCATAGAGCTGTATGATTCGGACTCCCCAGATTTACATCCCGCCATTGATTTATACGCCTTCGGAATGCTGTAAGTGTATCCAGAAAACGGGTTTGCTTCTCCTGTAAGCGTACATTTTCTTATTATATTCGCATACACAAGCTTCATTGGGAATCGTTTCATCCAGTTCGAGCTTTGCTTTTCGGATTGTGCACGTAAACTGGGTGTACTCTAGACGTGAATGAACACCAGCCTAGTAATCGACTCTAAGCGTTTGTCATAGCAGACAACTTTAGACACTTGTCAACCCTAGATGCGTGTGCGTGTATTCGAATGTATATTTTACCATACGGAGAAACCATGCCTGTATGCAGAGGGCGTCTATCGTATTGAACGAAGTCTTTTTCCAAATCACAGCGTACTCGAAATGGCCACATCACAGACCCCCTACCACGAATGCAAATCTTTTACGGAAGTATACAAACAGGTAAGAACAATATGTGATTATGCATTTACATATTCATGACTGGCATGAATAATTATCAGGAATATATAGTTAAGTGG